TCTCTCTCTCTCTCTCTCTCTCTCTCTCTCTCTCTCTCTTCTCTCTCTCTCTCTCTCTCTTCTTCTCCCTCCCCTCCCTCTCTCTCTCTCTCTCTCCCTCTATTCTCTCTCTTTCTCCCACTCTTCCCTTTCTGGATTCCAAACATCTTAAGCGAATAAAATACAAACAAGATAATGATAATAACAGCTGGCATCACACGTGTTCACCGGATCGAACTGTATATCCTCGAGCACGACTCTCAAGACCTGGGAATCGTATCAACGAGTCCTCTGCTTGGGAAACCTCGCGGAAGCACCGAACATCTTCCGCTCCTTTGGAATGTTCTCTGTGGCCGGAATTCCTCTCCCCGGGCTCCTTGANATTTTTCACAACCACATGGCAAACACGGTAACATGGTAGGAAAGTTCACACGTTTCAGATAAAAATCCTTACGGCAGCACACAAAAAGGACCTCAAGCACCAAAGCACAGTCTGCCTCGCTCCTTGAGGAAGAGTAGGAAGCGAAGACATAAATGCACCTGAACACAGGAAGTAGGCGTGGTCTATGATCCTAACACAACACTTACATTTTTTTCTTCGCTTAACCGGTGCAGCTTTTACCTTTTAACTTTTAAAGTCCTTGTTTTGCAAATGCAGAGTATTGTTCAGTTGTGTGATTTTTTTTGTGTTAGTGGTGCTTTGCTATGTTCGGCCCAGAGATCGGAAAGATTAGATGAGCTTGCATGGATGTCGCCAATTCACGTCCAGTCATGCGTGACGTGATTCGCTCAGTCGTCGACCAGTTTGGAGAGAGTAACGGGTTACTCGAGCCATCATGTGTCCTAAATACCGGGTGTCTTGACAGGGGCCACGGTAACGGTAATGGTTGACCCTGTTGATCTCTGCGACGCCGGGTCACCTTGGCAGGTCAACGCGACGCCGCGCGGCAAAATAAGCGCCGCTTGTTCACCGTTGGCAATTACGATGGCATTTACGGCCCCTTCAGCCGTTGGCCGCCGTGGTGTCGCCGGAAAGGGCTTTGGTGCACCTTCCATGCGAGGAGGATGGATTCGAGGGGAATTTGGAGAACTGACGAAAAAAACCTTTTGTCATTTGTTTAAGTTCCAGGAAGTTTGCTCTGCATGTTCTGAGGACATGTAATCCTCACTTTATCTGCTTCGCGCAAGACCAATCGCGAAGCGGCTTCGATCGAGGCAAAAGCGGATATCAGGTTATCCGTACGACGCACATTGAATCGAAGCACTGCCCATGAAGGGCGTGCACGACCAAGGCAAAAACCCTCCCGAAGCTGTGCCCTCCTCGCCTTGGCAAGACCTGCTCGTGCTACCGGCGAGTAACAAGCAGCGGCTCCTTCATTTCCAGGAAGAGCTGCGTGTCGAAACTTGGAAACCGACTGGACTCCTCTTGACAACCGAGAAAGAGGCAGAGAGCGGGTGTTCACATACAAGTGCTTTAGCCTTTATCAGGGCCTTCTGGGGATTTCCCTCTCTGACGAGTGGCTATTCTATTTTTTTTATGTCGGACACTCTTCGTACATACAAAGTAACCTTTCTATGTTTTGTTATTTTCTTGTTCTTTTCTTTTATTATCATTATTTCAATACATCCTCACAACATCTTTAACGTATCAGCAACTGGAGGCAAATCTTTTTAAAACTAAGATATTTATGCAGTATGCTGAGAGTCAAGGCCATGTTGCCAGGGGGTATTTTTTTAGGTGAAGCTGCTACTTCCACTCCCTGACGACGCCGAGCGGTGCGGGCGGCGGGTATAGCCGCGCCTTGGGCTGCGATGAGGAAAGAAGTCAAACTGACCTTAGCGTTCGTTTTTCTGACCTGAAGTAGAACCAAAATCGGTCGGTAAACGTCACCATTATGACTGAACCCCGGCATTCTCGCCTGCCTTGGGTCCTCGCCGCGGTGAATTTCCTCGCGTCGGGAAGAAGGACGCGGGAATCGGTGTGATTTGAAGATCATATCGTCACATTCACCATGGACGTAGTTATCGGATTTTTGGAAGGGACCGCAGGAAATACCATTAGAATAAAGGCCGACCACAGATCCCGCCAAACAAATCCTTTTAAGTTACCGTGAGCTCTACTTCCAAAAATATAACACACCAATGAAGAAATATAGGTAAGAGTCTAATAAAATCTCATCGAGTTCACCACGATTAAAGAACTTTCCGAACGCCATCGCGCCCGCCGCCCGCGCTGCAAAAGTATTGAGCGACAACAACTGCGCCGTAACCGCAGCAACGAGAATGCGGTCCGGGGAAACATTACATGGGGCGGCGACCTCGGGGTTACTGGCCGAGCGGGGTGCGTCTCGGCCCGGGGAAACGGTGGGGGGAGGAGAAGGGAGGAAGGGGGAGGAGAAGGGGAGGAGGGAGGGAAGGAGAAGGGGAGGGAGGGGAAGAGAAGGGGAGGAGGAGGGGAAGGAAAAGGGGGAGGAGGAGGGAAGGAGAAGGGGAGGGAGGAGAGGAAGGAGAAGGGGGAGAGGAGACAGTGAAGGAGAAGGGGAGGAGGGAAGGAGAAGGGGAGGAGGAGGGGAGGAGAAAGGGAGAGGAGGGGAAGGAGAGAAAGAGGAGGGAAGGAGAAGGGAGAGGAGACATGAGGAGAAGGGAGGAGGGGAAGGAGAAGGGGAGAGGAGACAGGGAGGAGAAGGGAGGAGGAGGAAGAGAAGAGGGAGGAGGAAGAGAAGGAGGGAAGGGAAGGAGAAGGGGAGGAGAGGGGAAGGAGAAGGGAGGAGGAGGAAGGAGAAGGGGAGAGGAGGAAGGAGAAGGAGAGGAACAGGGAGGAGAAGGGGGAGGAGGAAGGAGAAGGGGAGGAGGAGAAGGAGAAGGGGAGGAGGAGAAGGAGAAGGGGAGGGAGGAGGGGAAGGAGAAGGAGGGAGAGGGAAGGAGAAGGGGGAGGGAGGAGGAAGGAGAAGCGAGGAGGAGGGAAGGAGAAGGGGAGAGAAGACAGTGAGGAGAAGGGGAGGGAGGAGGGGAAGGAGAAGGGAGAGGAGACAGGGAGGGAAGGGAGGAGGAGGGGGAGGAGAAGGGGGAGGAGGGGGAGAAATGGGAGGGGAGACAGGAAAATGGGGAGGGGAGACAGGAGGAAAAGGGGAGGGGAGACAGGAGGAGAAGGAAGAAGGAGAAGGAGAGGAGAGTGGGAAGATAAGGGGATGGTAGAGGAGAGGAAGGGGAACTGGGAGGGAAGGGGAGGGAAATGCCGATCGCTGAGTACTCGAGAAGAGGAAAATGCTTGTGTGTTCAGGTTCGTGTTCATATGTTAGCTTGACTTTTGAGTTTGTAGATACTGTTAAATTTTGTTTTTATTTCTGTTTTAGCCAATATCATTTTCACATTACCGCGATAAAGGTTGCAAGATTTATTGTCTGAATATGTCCGTAATATCTGTAAATACATTTATAACTCAGCTTGTGTTTATGCTCGTATGAACATATAAGTCAAAGAACGAAAATGAAAGAGAAAACGAAGGAAATCAGAAAAAGGAAAAGAAAATTAGAATGAAATTGAAACCGAAAGTACCGGGGAAAAGGGCCGGAAGGGACCCCCCCCCCCAAAGGAAAGGAAGGTGCGAGGGGGACCCTGCTATGGCGAGGGAAAAAACCCGACATTTTCCTGAATAACCAGCGTGAGTCTTCGTAAACAGCAAGGCATTTAGGACACACTCACTCACACACACACACACACACACACACACACACACACACACACACCACACACACACCCACACACACATACATACACACACACACACACACACAACATACATGCACACACACACACACGCACTCACACAAATATTGCGTATAAAAAATGTCCTCGGTAGTGGATGTTGGTAAGAAGAGTTGTCATGTCTCCGGTTGATTCAAAGTTGAAGGGAAAACATTTAACAAAAGATGGTTGACATAATTTACACTCTTTATATGCTATCAAAATTAATATTACAGTATGGTAATGTAAGGGTAATGACACCGATAATATTGATGATAATGATGATATTCGGCTATCACTTCTACGGTAGATGTAGCAATGATGGCAATAAATGATGATGCATCTATAATTATGATGATTATGATGATAGTAATGATATTAATAATACTTCCAATGCTCCTGCTAATGTTGTTAGCACTATTAGAATAGCTGTGTATAATAATGATCATAATAAGGATTTTTATTACAGCGATAATAACAAATCACCCGGGGAAGGTCAACAACTTTTTACGTAATAGGCTTCAAAATACAGGATACTGTAGTTTAATGACCACAATTTACATTCTTAGTCTGCGTTGTAAGTTTATTCTCCACAAACATTGCATCGCGATAATAGTTACTGATGATGCATTTCCTTGCACCTTCGAGAGCTGCTTAACTAGGTGGGTCTATTACATTGCATCAGACCAAGAGAAGATTAGGATTCATTGCATGTGTCGGGAAGGATGCTATGTATATATCAATGTATCAATATCAATATCAATAATATATATATATATATATATACATATATATATATATATGTATATAAATATATATATATATATATATATAATATATATATATAATATATATAATATATGTGTGTGTGTGTGTGTGTGTGTGTGTGTGTGTGTGTGTGTGTGTGTGTGTGTGTGTATGTATGTATGTATCTATACATACAAATGTATATATGTATGTATATATATAATATATATATATATATATATATAATATATATATATATATTATAATATATATATTTACATACATACGCACACACTCACACACACACACATACACACACACACACACACACACATATATATATATATATATATATATATATTATATATATATAATATATATATATATATATATATATATATAATGACCCAAAGTATTTGGGAAATGTTTAGAGTTTGATTAGATACATAGAAATTAAAAGTATATAGATCGGGGAAGAAATCATTACTAAAAGGTGAATAATATACAATTCCTGAGGTAAATTTCAAACATTTTTTAACCAAAATAGGATTTATTCAACTATGATGGAAACAAGTCTCGATTGCAGCACAACATATTGTACTTGAAATACAACAAAGTGCTCAGAGCAACGAGGAAAAGCTTGATTAAGAAATATCACAAATACATCAAATGAACAATGTAGAGTCAAATGCCACGTCATCCAGAAGCATGGCAGATCGAGAGAGTGTGAACTGAACAATTAATGAATGCTTGATACAAGTAGACATATTCATCATGATGAGTATATTGATACACAAAGATGCAATTTAGCTTTCGTGAGTTCACTCTTCCTGGAATTCAGTATCAACTGACTGGAATATAAACTGATAGATGATTCCAAGAAATATTCACAATAAAGTGATCACGAGAACTGAAGGTGAGACGATCTCTTTCGGTTCGCGCCCAGATGAGAAAAGCTGCATGAAAGGGCAGGTGGATATTTGCAGTGCTGACAGGAACGGTGTTCGGCTGACGTTTGCTCCCCGAGGCTGACAGGGAGGGGGGGGGGCTGGCGAGAGTCAGTTGCCAGAGAGAGTCCGAGATCCGCGCAGGGGTCGAGTAGCCACATGTCAATCCGGGAGGAGGAAGGTTGGGTACCTGCCCCTGGTACAGAGCCGTAGCTTCTTACCAGGGGCAGGCACTGGCAAGTGCTCCTCGCTCCTGTCGCCGCTGGGTCATTTCATAACTGAAAATTATGTAATTATGTATTATTCGACTTATACCCATGCTGTTATCATCACTAAAATGTGTCTTCTGATTAACTAAGACGCGTAAAATTGATTAGAAGACGTAACTAAACATGAAAATGAAAGCTTATGGTTATCCATTCCTCCCTGCATACACATACTAATTTTCTTGCAAGAATAATGAAGTACAGAGGTTTCATAAATGATATGAACAAATTGTAACTAAAATGGCTTACTCCACTGACAGATCTCTTTGAAAATAACTAGTGTCTTATATTTACAATACACATAATTATTTCTATAGCTGACAGTAAATATTATCAAATTATCATGATAACTAATGATTGACAAAAATCATCTGCACAAAAATAATCTCAACTTAAATTTTGATACTGCTTCGGCCTATTGGCTGTAACACGTAAATTTAGGAACCAAACTTGGCACAGATCAGTATAACAACAAAGGGCATGTATGATTTTTTTTTGTCAAATTTCTTAAACAAATATACAACTATAAAACTAAAACTAGATATCTTACCAGTGTGCCAGTTCCATCCCGAACTCAGCTGAGAGCGAGTTGTAACTGCCACAAGGACAGGAATCGAGCGCTTAAGAATCAATGGTTGCTCGACATGCCAGATCTCGCTACCCGTTACTGACAGCCAAGTAGCAAGTGATATGTCAACAAAAAGAGCTTGCCAATTCATTCGATCTGTAGAGTTTGTAATACTAATGAATCTGATATATTAAATAACACCGATATAATATTAGTTTTTGATTAATTCATTATTTTTTCAAAAGACAAATGTATGGCGATGGAGACCTTGCATAGAGTGGCGTAATGCTCGTTTTTTCCGGTTACAATTAGCGCTTTATATGAGTCACCCTTACATATCTGCCCACATGTTGGTCGTTTTCTTTGTCTGACGCGATAGAACACGTTCATGATAAATGCGTATATTTTTACTTTTGATTACTTTTTTCTTGGTGACATTTATAGTAAGGTAGTTTGCATGAATTATATATATATATATATATATATATATATATATATATATATATATAAATATATATATATATATATATATGTATATATATGTATATATATAAATTTAAATGTATATATACATATGTATATATATATATATATATATAATATATATTATATAAAAATTTAAATGTATAATATGTATATATATATATAAATTTAAATGTAAACATATATATATACATATATATACATATATATATATATATATATAATATATATATATATATATATATATATATATATATATATATAATGTGTGTGTGTGTGTGCATGTCTGTCTGTGTATGTGTGTGTGTACATATTAATATATATATATATATATATATATATATATGTATATATACATGTGTATGTATATATACATGTATATGTATATATACATGTATATGTATATATATATGCATATATATATACATACACATATATGTATATATATGTATATATATAGGATATATATATATATATACATATACACAGTATATATATATATATATATATTATATATATATATATATATATATATATTATATATATAGACAGATAGATAGATAGATAGATATACACATACACATACATATGTGTGCGTGTGTTTGTGTGTTGTGCGTGTGAGTGTATACATAAATACACACGCACACATATGAATATATATTCATATGCATATATATATATCTTTGCATTCATATGCACATATCTGTATCAATCTATCTACTTATATTTATTTTACCTGTGTTCAACGGACATCATAAATAAGAATAAAGGAATAGTAACTAACTGACAAACAATTCAGTCGAATAAATATACCGAGTAAGGAAATAAATAACTACTATAATAATAACTGCTATAATGATAATTACTGCGGATTGTTGAAAATGCAATGAAATGTTTGGAAACCTCAACTGGCATAATCCGTAAATATATTAACCATCGAAAGCATTAGGAAAAAATCGACTAAACTCGTACAGCCACGCGAAGGTGAGTCATATGAAGCACTCATTTTATCGGCAAAACGTATGTGATACACGAATCTTGCGCCACGTTATTTAAACTTTTCTTCGTTACCGATGCCTCTCTTGAGGAAACTATTATATCATTAAAATACAAACAATATTTCGATTTCTTGAAATTTATCATACACACTGATCTACTACGTTACATAATAAAAAAAATATATACTTCTTTTGTTGAAAATTCGCTTTCTCAGTGTTTGTTAGCAACGGTTAGCGATACCTGGCACGCTGGAGGAACGTCGATTCTTAAGCGACGCGTTCCTCTGCCTGTTGCAGTTACGACTCGATCTCAGAAGAGGTCGCGATGAACGTAACCGCCAGGTGAGAATGCCTGTCCAATGTTGCTCAAATGGAATAGGATCATATCAATTCCATATAGCTGTAAACAACTTTTGCACTTGAGGTTTTCAGCAGACCTATGGTTATGAATTTAATGTAGCACAGTAAAGATCCCAGGATGACTCAGATTGATATTATATGTCCTAGTACATGTTTAGGATACTGTGCAATATTTTGTAGGAAAAAATCTTGCATTTCCGGAAAAGACTACGCCACAAAAAATCAGAAATATATTGAAACAAGTTTTTACGCGTGAAAACGTCATATTTATGCACGGACTTTGAACAAGTATTACATTATCATTATATTGCTTTACAGTTGCGAGAAGTTTCAGAGGCGACAGGGGCGAGGGGCACTTGCCAGTGCCTGCCCCTGGTAAGAAGCTACGGCTCTGTACCAGGGGCAGGTACCCAACCTTCCTCCTCCCGGATTGACATATGGCAACTCGACCCCTGAACGGATCTCGGACTGTCCCTGGCGACTAACCCCTGCCAGGCCCCCTTTCCCTTCCACCTCCAGGAGCAAACGTCAGCCGAACATCTTTCCTGTCAGCTCTGCAAGCATTCCTTGGCCTTCTGGTACAACTACTACCTCGACGCGACTAGCCCGAAGGAATCAATGTTTTTTAGACTATTGGCAGTTTATTGACGTTTAACTCCCGGAATAACGATCTCACTTATGTTGCACTGTATTTTGTTCCATCGTTTACACATTGCAATCAGAAGTTGATTGCATTCAATCATCCATTCTACCAGAGCTGCTCTCTTCCTCCCCTCTCGGCCAGCGATGTCTCTTGATTCAGTTTTAACTTGTTGCTCTGAGCACTATGTTGTATTTTAAAGCACAATATATTGTGCCGATGTGTATGAGGCTATACAAACTTTTTCAACTAGTCGAATAAAATTATATTTTGATAAATGTTAGTTTAAACCGAACCCTGACCTAACTGTATTGAAAATGAAAAATATTTAATATCTTTTGAGATACTGGTGTTTATATATCACAGGTTTCACCTTGTTTTTCTCAAACCAAGATCGATTACCATCAGTAAATAGAGCTTACCGTCACTCGGCCAAACAGTAGGCCATTAGGTTCAGTAAAATTCTACAGTTCTTAGGAATGCATGCATCTATAAGCATATATCATGGTCGTACACACACACACAAACACACATACACACACACACACGCATGCACGCACACATACACATACGTACACACGCACTCACATACCCGTGTGCACTCATCTAAATCTGTATCTATATTGATCTATCTATCATCTATCTATCTGTACATCTATCTATAAACTCTAATTACAATAATAGTCAAGTTGATCATTCTATTATTAATTATGCTAATCAACACCTCTAATAACACTTGTAGTACTAAGCAGCAACATGGTAATTAATGCTTCATCTTCTGAGGAAGTTGATAATGGTAATCCTCTCCGCCGCGTTTTCCGTTTCTCCGCTTGGCCGCCTCAGGCATATTTGATCACGTGACTGCTGTGGATATATTCCTGTGGAATTTCTCCCGTTCTGCGTCCGTCGGTCTCTTTGATATATGGTTGTCATTTCTTGACTGTGTTTCAATTATATATATATATATATATATATATATATATAATATATATATATATATATACATACATGCACACACACACACACGCACACACACATACACACACACACACACACACACACACACACACACACACACACACACACACATACCACACACACACACACACACCACACACACACATACACACACACACACACACACACACACATACACACACACACACACACACACACACACGCACACACATACATATATGCATATATATGTGTGGGGGGGGCGAGGGTGAGCATTTGAATATATATATATTATATATATATATATATATATATATATATATATAATATATAATATATATATGTATAACATACATATATATATATATATATATATATATATATATATATATATATAATATATATATAAGTATGTATGTATGTGTATAGTAATATACATATATATATAGAGAGAGAGAGAGATAGACAGGTATATAAATAGATAAATAGACAGACAGATAGATAAGACCGATAGATAGGTAGACAGAGAGATAGATAAATAAACGAAACGATTCATTTTCTTCAACACTAGCATTTTCGTAGTCTAGGTTGGTGTTTCGTTTCAAATAATATATTCAACGGACATATATTGTCTCATGCTGTGAATTCATGTAGTGTATATTATAGTTCACCAGTAATTTATTTATCTGCTAATTCTTCCTATATTTTTGGATCATATTAC